TACTTGTGTACCCACTGTTGTCCGAGTGTAGAGCCTCTGAAAGTATACAATTCTTTTATAATCTTTACACCTAACGAAAGATGCTTTGCAGCAACATTGTGAGTGCGCCAGAGTTTTTAGTCATAGAGGATTTAACACAAAGCCAATATTGTATGCTTGGACAAGCCAAAGTGGAAAAAGTCTTTGCACTTGAAACTACATATGCAATCATTATTCTTCGTCTTCGTTACGTTCAAACACGAACGAAATTGCAAGCTGTAGGGTTTACATTTTCTATGTTTTGAGATATGTTGCTCTATGATTCTTGAATCACCGTCCCTAATATAGTCTGTTTTGGCAATTATGTGTTTGTAGAAGAAATTTAGGGAGAAATGTTGAGCTTCCGTAAGTACTTTGATAAATTTGTTACATGACCTTTACAGGAACCACATTAAGGACAATCTTGTGGTTGAATTAGGTTCAACCCTTCACCGACTTGTTGAACCAACCTCAACGAAAAGGTGACTTCGGAGAAACAACTTTTGATCGGTAGCTGAGGAGAAATCTATGGAACAGGATTTAATATCATGCCATTAACAAACATTTAACCTTTAAGTACCTTGACCATCGCAAGAGATCAATGATTCTTAAGCTATAGAAAATGAAAGCCAGCTGAATCTGGTACGGTGTGCAACCTGGCTTCTTTCATTGTGACGACAATACTTAGGTTATGGCTACTGCAACAAAAGAGAATTTGCGCTTCACTTCAAGACGATTGTCTTAAGCAAATCTATTTGTTCCTTCGGGGGCTATTTCCTCCTCACGACTTTATTTTTTGGCTGTTATACCCCTATCTTTCTAAAGTGCGTTGCCAACAAAATGTTGGCCACTGTGAAAATGTTCCTGCCAATAGCGGTGCATTAAAAGGAACGCATTCTTGACATTCGCAGGATGACGATGTACAAGCTTGTGTTTCCAGCTCTCTTTGGAAGGACTAGAAACAACAGGTGGTAAAAAGGGTCGAAACCCGCAAGAATACTCGTCATCTGCCACTCTGATGGTTTGAATCGATAGTTTCTGGCGGAAGCGCGAAAGACGAAAACGCAAGGGATCGAAAACCACCTGTCGTCTCGAGCCAGGAGAATTAGTCGTTATAAATGACCAACTGCAATCAACCGATGAGGACGCCGGTTAAGAGGAAAGTCCCGTGGGACTTTGGCGAGTGGTCAAAATACACCCAATTTTATCCGACGAACAGAGATTGTGAATTGCCCGAAGTAATGAACTGGACGAGGCCAACGGCTAACAGGTAGGCCCCTTACTCTTCTTTTTCAGCTACTTTGAATACAGCTAATACTCATCACACACGCTTCGAGGATTGAACTTTCATGAAAAGGTACGGCTAATGCATACAAAACGTTAAGAAATCAAGCGTTTCCACCTGCGTAAATATGCAAGCGTATAGGCGTAAATACATATGCGAAATATTGTTTTAGTAATTGCTGACACCATTTCATTTGTTTTCAAAAAATATTTCTCAATAGCTTGGACATTTCTTTCCTAGGTAAAATAAGTGCTCTTGGAAATAATTGATTACATGTATTGTCATTAACTTAAAAAAATGCAGGTATGTTTCATGTTTATTGAAATTATTGAGAGCTAAAGAAAATAAATAAATAAAAATAAAATATATGAATAAATGAATTAAGATAAATGATTAAGTGACGTTGTCGAGACATAGCTGCAAATGAGCTTGTAAATGGCACCTAAACCATGGAGGAAGACGCGTTCTTATTCCTCCATGCTTAAAGTCTTGATGTCGCGAAGTCTTGCATCGAAATCACAAAATGTACTCTTCTATTTTGAGATCTTCGTTCATGACACAGTAAAGTTTGATGGGTGGAGTGCATAACTTAGTCAAATTTGTGAATACAAATACAAATAACTAGGTCAAAACTCAGGGGATTAAAAATTCCAACTTGGCCCAATGGCTTAAGAGAGGGCTCAGTACGCTACGTACAAACAATATTGAAACATCTCCGATACCCTGTCGGTATCGTATTTTGGTTGTAAGATGTCAACCTAAAGATATGACGTAAAAGCCAGAAATCTTCAATGCAAGTGACGTAAAAGAGGCAAATGGTAATAGTTCTGCTTATCACAGGGGAACTTCCTCTATTTCTCCTTTTGCCAGTGACCCTTCTCTCGTGCACTCTTTAAATGCTGAGCGTTAATCAAGTGTGGACGAGTGGGTGAACGTGAACGCTGGATACAACACAGGTGCCTCTGTGAAGCGCCCCACGCACTCCATTTTGATTGGCGCTTTGCCTGTGGTGGCTTTCTATTCACTGTTTCAACCCGTGCAGAATTGTGCTGTGCTGCTTTAGAAGTAGGCATTGGAGGATGTTTATGAGCACAATTTGGAAACGTTACACGAGACAATTTGAAGAGTCTGTGACTGCCGATATTAAGAACGTAGACGAAGTATACAGTTGGAGAATGTAGCCTTTCCTGGCCCAGGAGCAATAAGGTTATTGAGGGAAGTGAGCAGTGTTGTTATTCTTGTTTAACATTTCATTTGAGGGAGAGTATTTTAGGAAGAAAACGAACAAACTTGTCCAATGATTTCGCTAATAAAAACACTTTACTACACGAAACTTAAAATTCAACAGACTGTCACGAGAGTTGCAGAAGAAAAGAGAGGAGTCCACAATTAAGCCTCTCATCAAACAAGTTCAAAGTTCCTCCATTTCGCCCAGTCATTCGGTTGAAAAGAAATATATTTGTGTTGCCCAGTCGCTCACAAAATCTTTTCTTTTACCTAAATGCCATCAAGCGGTAACTTAAACAGACTGACGACGGAACTCCCATCGCGGGGTTACGTGTACTGCAATTATTGCCCGAAGCGTGCCTGTCTTAATTTTTCGAGGAGCCCAGCAAATTATCGCTACTTATGCCAACAAGGCAATCAAACCAAGGAGACAGTCTCAAATAAAGGCCAAACCTCACACTCTTATTAACCAGAGCATGGGCAACAATAAACACGGCCTTGTTTCACTATCTGCGTCAACAAAAGGCAGGATATAAAGCCAGCCAATTTAGGTTTTGGTACTGTGTGGCGCAGGTATAAAAGTTGTAGCGGTTCGTCATAAATATTTGCTCGTCTGATTGTTCGCCCCTAGGCAATAATTTCGCAAATCGGTTTTCGAGGTTGTACGATCCTGTCGTTTGCTTCTTTATTCGTTGCCCGGGAGTTTGGTTTTCGCTGGTTTTTCGGTTTTGGAATGAGAAGTGGAGAGAGAACGAAGACAAACAATGTGAGGTTGCAAAGAAATTCCCTTGATGTACTTGACCCCCAGATACAATGCTACACAATGCGACATAAAAAGGGCCAGGGCGTCCGCTATGACGTCAACCTTCAGTGTTGCATGTGAGGACGCTGCACGCCAAGTGCTATCAAGCATCGTAACAAAATCGTTCTGGGGCACCACTGGATTCCCGTACTCGAGCTAGTTTTGGGGTTCGTCTGGCCTCTTCACTCTCTTCTCGAGAGCCAGAGCCTGTTGCTGAATGGTTTGCTATTTTCACCGTTTATAGATCGACAAGAACTTCTCCAACTACTGTCAGAATTGATCTCACCAATCGATCACTCGTGAGAATGAAGAGTTTAAAAGAACCATGTAATAGGATGTTTATAATTTGGACGCATGACAGACAGCTTTATTTACATGCCTCAATAACTTCCCTCCTCCAATTTTTAGTAGTAAAAGAGGTAAATTGTAACATTTTGGATATTATGTTAATGAAGATTTCCGTGGTCATGAATGAGCCAAAGCGTGGTGTCATTCAAAGAAGAGCAACATCAAAATTCTGCTCAAAATGGACGGAGTTCTTTTTTTTTTTCAAACTCATTCAATCTAAACTCAGAGTGATTCGCTCTGAATCATTAACTCCTTCGTGTCACTATTTCGGATTTAAAGAGCATGAGAACAAGTACTCGATGTCGCGGAAAGTTGTTGTGACATAATGATAATGCATGGAAGCAGGTTGTGCTGAATATCCACGGCATGTTTCCTTTAATACATAGGGGGCAGTTTTCCACCGTTTTTAAGGCTAATCTGTCAAAAAAGGGTTAAAAGACTTAATGTAATGCATTCTGTTAACGAGATACATTAATATCTATCGATTTCTTTATGAATTTACAATGTGTACCTTTGAGGCAAGCTTTTTCCCAAGTTTATGTTTATCACCCCTACAACGTGTATCGACGGATTACTCTCGACAGTGTTGTTATAAAAGTTCAGCTGAAGTCAGCGCATGGATGTGGAGATTTCGTTGTTGTTATAGCGATTCAGTGGTGAATATTGATAGTTTTCGTGCATACTGTATTGAATGATTCACAAGCGGTGGATCTGCACGGAAATGGCTGTCATTCCAACTTGACCAATCGACTCGAGGTTGGCTTAACCTCGACAGATCTCCAAAGTTGTAATTTGTCGCAAACGTTGAGAACACTAATCGTAAAATTTGACATTTTATAGGAAGCTTATTGATTTTGAGTCATCCTTCTGAATCGTTCGGTCGGGCATAAAACTGACCATGTTTTCATTTGTCATTTACGTCATCTCTGTGAAGTGTTAAAAGCCAACATGGCAACATAAAGACAAGACGTTCAAGTCAATGCATTGGAAACTCTCCGAAATTAACACCTTTCCATCTCAAGGCTACGCTTATCGTTTCATGTTAAATGAAGTTCTAGCTTAAACAGATACTCTTCCTGCTGATGATTGGGATACCTACCTTTAGTGAAGCACCCTGTCACGTGTTAACGTAGGACCAGGGAATAAGCGGAATACTGCCAACAGTTATTTGGTATTAGCTCACGTATGTGTATTGGTACCTTAAAGGCCTGCCTTGATGAAACATTCAGGCCACTTCTTGGCTTAATTAAATTACACTGGAGTTGCGTGAATTACGGCTTCAGCCAGGTAATTGGGATACAAGTAAGTTTCTAAACTCACCTGTCAATAGCGATGGCCAGCAACGAGTTAGTTGACACGTACAGGGACGTGATTTTGAGGTAGCCCACCGCAACACATAGGGCGCCCCCGAACGGCCAGTTTTCGAACATGTAGAAGTAGAAGTTGAAGGGCGCGCAGATGACAGCCACCAGGAAGTCTGAGAGGGCCAGGTTGCCAATCAGCAGGTTCGTCGTAGTTCGCATGCGCCTGAAGCGGTAGATGACGTAGCAGAGGAGAAGGTTGCCGATGCCGCAGACGGTCATCATGAGACAGTAGGTGATCCCTACTAAGATCTTGGCTGATATATGCACCTGCGGAGTGACCCTCCGATCCCCGGGCTCAGAGGTTTCGTTGTAGTAGTAACCGTCCTCCTGGTCGTACAAGGCCAGTAGGTCGATTGGGTAGTGCGCAACAGAGTAGTTACTGTTCGTCTGCGGGAACGCATATATCTGGTAAGCCATTGCGACGCCACTAGCGATCGTGGCTTTACCTGCAAGACATGATATCCGTATGTCATCGATCATACATAATCCTAATAAACCACTGTGCACTGAAATTCATGCATGTAGACGATTTCAGAGAGAATTACAGTTCACATAAGAAGAGACATACCCGAGTCTCGCTCTCAGTCTTAAAAAAAAACGGTAGTTGATGTTTACCGTTACCAAGATGGAAAACACGCGGGATCTATTTAGCAGGTCGGGGACCAAACCACAATCTACCGACGTCCCCAGTTTCTGCTCATGTAGCTAGTTCAAGCGGCAATGACGTCATCTTTTAAGGTCACGTGATAATGATGTAAATCACGTGGACAGTTCAATGAAATATCAATATGAGAATCTGCGTCAGACCTCTTTCCAGTATCAAAGTTCATAATGGCAAATGGGAAGCATACTCAGAAAGCCCAGTTGAAGATACACAGAACAACTTGCGGAGGAAAAAAAAACAATCATCTAAAGCAACGATAAGGAATGAAATAACCACTCAATGCTCAAAATAGTCGAGTGGGTATTTTGTTCATTTAGGACAGGCATTTGGCTGACAAGTCGTAAATCTCGGAGGTGTGGGTGCAGTTGATGGAAAAATGAGACTCTGGCGTAATACACGGAAAATTGCCACCGAGCGGGGACACGAGATTTGTCTTGATAATGTTTGACAATTTAATAGTTTCAGTCGATCGCAGACTCGGGGGGGGTAAGGGGTCGGGGCTGATTTATCACACCTTTTCAGATGCAGCCAGATTAAAGGAGGAATATAACAGGGCCCGTCTACACGGGATATATAGACAGCAACGGGCAAAGTGCTGCATTGAGCAAAAGCTACAGTGGCATAACTCAAAGGGCTAATGTTGCACGAAAAGGACAAAAAGGATTATTGTTTCAGTTTCGAGACGGGAGTGATGCTTTTTTCATTGTCTGTGTCTACTCTGCCAGCCGTTTAAAGGCTGATAGGAAATTTCGTCTGTGTATGGGCAACGTAACGAACAGCACTCGTATTTCCTTTTCCGCGTGCAATTTTACGAGGAAAGAAATTTGATACACCTTGAGCGAGCACAACAGTCAAAGACATAATTTCAACAATTACATTACTCGAAGAATGCGGTACAGGGCGGAGGTGTACAATTTGAAATCCCTACGGACGCCTTTTATTCCATTGTGGAGGTTTCCGGAAGATTTTCATTAAATATAGATTGTTTATTTGGGGAATAATTCACTGATGCAAAGAAAAGTGCGAACAGTGCAAAGAGTGCGTATAGGTACCAAAGTAACTCACCAATGGAGTGCTTCGTCACCTGACACACAAATACTCTGGAAATCGCTGGAGATGTTGCTTCAGGGTGCCCAAATCCCTGTAATGTGATGCCAAAATCTACAGTATTTCTTGCAAGACGAACGGTGTTGTCTTCTGTCAGAACATACTCTTTTGTTTTTCCCCAAGGTCTTTCTCGCCAGTTTCACACCTTACTGCCAAAGGTTTACATCAGAGCGCAGACCAATGTCGAGGAAACCTATCCATGGTGTATCGATCAGCTAAAAACACCATCTGCCTCCTACGGCTGTGAAGTGTACCTGTTGTAACTGGCAACATTGCTTTGTTGTGGGAAGCAAAACGTCAAACGAAGTGTCAAGTGGCCGTCGAGCGTGTGCTTAGTTGCAGGTGTAGTGCTCAGCTCGGTCGCAAAGTCGTTTTTAATCTCATTCGGCCACCGACCGGTGTTTTGATTCAGAACCGGACAGCCAGCCTCCTGGAGTTACTGACACTCTATCTCTGCCGTCTCAAAGTCAAAGTATCGAGCCTGAAGCTGTCCGGTGTTTTCTTTAAAAAAAAAAGAGGAAGTGGAGTGCCGGCAAGAGCAGTATCAGAAGCATCTACAGCAAATCAGTGAGAAAAAACGACGACGTGAGTCAACTGTACGGCCTCAGAAAAAATAACAATCAAATCCTGTGCGCTGATGATGTCAACACAAGCAGACGTGGGGACCATCACAAAACGTTTGGCGATGCTTCTGCGTCTCGCGATCGACGACGAACTAAATGACGTTGCTTGGTACAGAAGTCTTTGCCCACCACGAAGAAAAGCTGCTACTCGCGGACAAAAGCTTGGGCGCGTATTATATGAAACCGTCGGGCCTAATGAGGTTCAGCCGTGGCGCGATGTAATTGTGGGTAGCTGCTCGCGATTCTTCAAGGGTGGCGTATATTGACCAATGAGGTTTGACTGGAGCATACGTTGAGATCGACGACTCTCTCTGTCCAATAACAGACAGTCTATAATCTGATACAGAGCTAGAGCCAGTGTGTTGTTTCGATTATTTTATGATCTGTCTCCAACTGAAGTTCTCGGCATTGAATCGGCAGTCAGGCTTTACATTAATTGAAATGACGCAAATGTTGAATTAAACCACGTGCCTTTCCGTAATCAGAGAAAAGCCTATTTCTGAAAACGAACCATTTTTCTAATCAGATTGGGATTAATGCCACGATAAATGAAATGCCACGTATTGGCTTCACCATTCTTCAAGACTTTAAAATAGCGTCTGAAATGCTTGAATCCGTCTTGTGTTCCAATTAACCTTGGAAGAGGTGATGTGACGTGAAGACAGGTGATTTGATGTTGCGTTTTACATAGAGAGTAAAGGTTAGCACTACCTGCTCCGCCTCGCTTAAATCGACTGATGGTTGTGACATTGAAGACGTTATAGTGCTGACCCAGAGTGATGACATGAAATACATGCATTGTTGCCGCTGTATCAATGATTTCACTGACTTAAAAATAAATTTTAACTCAAATGTGAACTGATTTTAAAGTGGAAACTATAATTTTCTTTGCAAGTAGATTGAGAGTACTATTTTGTTTGTCGACTTCTTTCTCTTGCACTTCCGAACCCATCTATTTTTGTTTGTAAAATAATACATGTATCTAAGTTTTTATTTTAAAGTGCAAAAGACGGTTGGATTGCATCACCCAAGGTGCTGCATCATCCTTTGAACGGCTGTCAATTTTTTTACAAATTTATATATTTTATACTTAATCCGACAATGTGAAAACATATAGATTCTTCCACTGTTATCGATCGGATAATGAACACTCTGTTCAGATGTGTTAGTTTCACGCACAGACTCCTGGGAGATTGACACAGCAGAAACATGTATGTTTCTGAACACTGCGTCGCGCATGCGCAGCTCTATCGCGTTCCACACAACTTGCCTTTATGCTTCAGAACAAAATCTTGCGGACACGATCCCGGAGGCTCTTGGATTTGAGGATCATTGCTGTGTCCTTTTTTAAAGAGAACTTTTTTTTAATTAAATGTAGTTTTGATGGAGAATGTTTGCTGCCACCGAGCGACGAAGACGCGCCTCACTTTCGTACAATGCCTCCAGTTTTTAAGACAGCAAGGGGGTTACTTGGCACTGGGTGAAATTAAGAACAATTATTAAAACTGTAATGTCCATTCTTGAGAGACCATACTACATGCAATTATCAAGAATATGTAAGAAAGTGATATCAAACATTGATAGACATGGCAGTGGTTACTTACAATATCTATATCGTACGATGGCTTGTAAAAACAAGCGTAAGATGCTTTCCTGGTAACACTTTATGAACGTGTTTTTGTCCCAATCCCAAGTTAAACACGTTGTGGTGTTTTTAACAACTATGTGTGGATGTGTTAATAAATTTAGAGAGAATGACACATTTGGGTATTAATAACAAGACACAAAAAAACAGGATGGTAATACTTTCTGAAAATCGAAACGCGTTCATTTCCACAAATTACAATTAACGCAAAGACCCGTTTGTACAGTTTTTACAGTGTAAAACGTGGATACACTTCTCTGCGTCGTACTGTAAAACATTTATTTACGTAAGCTTCTACCTGTCCAGGTTCATATATAATCTGAAACTAGTCATGTTACATTTGGCACCATTATTGATCTGAAGATCTGCATACCTTCTGAGATTCCGGATGCTTCTCTTAAATCTTGTTGCGAATGAAAGCTGGGATATACTAACACTCCAAAATGCTGTTTCGTCTAGCGGCGCCTGAACAAACCTTTTGAACCGCCCGTTTTGTTTTGACTATAATGTGTGCATTTCATCTTTTCTGTAACATAAACACTGTCCCAGTCAAGCAATGATTCACGTATGACTGTTTCTGTTTGCACGTTAGCATAATAATTTAATTGTGTTGTCACCAACACCGCAGTGCTCATTGGGTAGACAAAATATCTTTATTTTTTCTATGAAGGAAACCTCGCTAGTAGAGTTTTAATGTAGCCCCGCGGGAATATTTTGAAATTCATTGGTTTTGCGTAGCCATGGGATACATCCAAAAAGATCACAAGAATGCGGGAGGAAAAATAATTTTCCTTTCTGGATGGTTCCCCTCGGTGATGCAGAAATCGTTTACTGCAGGAGCACCCCTGGCAGTTTTAATAAAAATGCATACAGGCTCGAAAACAGCGAATCTGAGCGACACCCTCGAGTAGCCGTTGATATCCTAGTTTCGATGGCTGGAGGAGTCAGTCCGCTGTAGTAATTCGCAGGGAAGTCAGACAATCAGAGCAGTGCGTTCAAACAAATACCAGCACCAGTCTTTTGGACTGCCCCGGGGTGGAAAGCGTTAACAAGGCCTAATAGGAAGCGGTGCTCGGATATTGCTTTGGAAGATTGAAGCCTAGTGAAAAAGAAAAAAGGGATTCGTATTTACGGAGGCCGGTGGAGGACACTGCGATAGAGGTAGACCTTGGAATTGGGAACAATAGTTGTTGAAAAGTATTACAAATTAGTTTGATATTGGAATTTTCGAAAGTATCGTAATTCAAGCTAATGTCCTTAGAAAAGAGAAAATTTCATTGGTATTACATTTCATTACTGTCTCAATGACAATTTGAAAACTTATTTGTCAACCGCGAAAGAAAAACAAAACCTTAACAACGTGGATTTTCATTTTCTTTGTGAATGATGTTGCCCCGTCAACAGTCCCGTCTCGCATGGAATATACAATAAACGTGCCTCCTTTTAGCGGTTCCGCCCACTGACAAGAAGATTCAAAATCAGATAAAGCCGTATGTCAACCACTGTGGTGGGAAGCCGCTTACGAGGCTTTGCCCTGAGCTACTTTCGCGTTTTAAACGAACGGGTGCAAAACGGCGATCCTGGCACGTTGCCGTATGCGATGGCTTAGAAAAATAAACCCCGGGGCGGTCCAAAAAGAACATAACGTCCTAAGCTAACAAACATGTTGTTCCTCACGCGGTACACAGAAAGAAATCGGCTGTTTCTTTCCCGCTTAAGGAAACCGGTGCGTGAGCATCGACAGGCTGGTGTCGCTGACCCAACCATTTGCAACGTGATCCCTGATCGATACCTCTGACGGAGAGAAACCAACGCATAACCCGGGATATCAGGTTTCTGCTTTCAGTAAAGAGGGCGTAACAGCCATTTCAGTGTACCGTATCGGGTGCTTCTTGCTCCGGTACGTGATCACGCGGCAGTATGGTGAATGATTTCAGGAGAATGTTAAGTGAAGCACCAATGCTTGACCTTTAAGGCAGTATCTGCGTTTCAACAAGTAGGTCAGGCGTACAATTTTTGAAAGGCGCTTTTAAACTAAACAGCTGCAGTGGAAAAAATATGTTAAAAGAGGTTCAAGTTAGCTTTGGCCACCTTACTCAAAATCCTTTCATTCGAGAAAAGCGACTTATTCCAAATTCACTGGAGTTGATAAAAATAAATTCAGAATAAAAATAAAGACATTTTCTCGATTTCTCATCTCATTTTATATTATTTTCCTCAGCCACAAGTTTAAAACTTTATCAGAAGTATCAAACAGGCAACTTTATTCACTTCCATGGCATAATACCCTAAAGTATACAATATGGGCGTTGGTTATCATCTTGACAACTCTTACGAGAAGGTTTCTGTAGTGAAATTTCTCGCTGACGGTGACCAAATCGCACTCAATGGTACAAGCGATGTATTGACCACACACGATCGACCGGCCCCGCGACCTAGAATGTGATCGAAATTTGTGGGGAAAGGGTTAGAAACCAGCCCACGTTGTTGTCTTTTTAATGAAACTCTTTTCTGATACTGTGCACGATATGGGGCCGATGGGTACCCCCCGACATGTCCAATCCCTATACACACTCTAGACTACTGTTACCCAACACATCCTCCCTAAAAGTCTGTAAGGAAGTCCTGAGATTCCGATCAAACAATGACCAACACAAGGGCGGCGGGGGGGGGGTCTCTTCGCCCCATATCTTGCATCACGTGTTTTTTTCTACAAAGCAAGGCCCAGCCACACACGTGTGTGTGGTATAAACTTCAACAGAAACCGCTGAAGCCGTTTACATGGAATCGGAACTGCGACCGTTCGGTTTTTATGTTGATGGTATTTCATAAAAACTGTGAGGTAACGGCAGACCGTGACGTCATATACCAAGTAAGAACGATGACTTGCTGGCCTGAACGGGCAGTCTCAGGGCAGTATCTTTGGGGAAAATCGCTCTGATTTCTAAAGACAGTGGTTTACTGGGTAACCGCGCAGATTGTGTGCCCAGAATGTGAACGACCAAACAGAAAACAATGTGCCCTGTTTTTCTTACCTCGTAGTATTTCATTACTACGTGTGTGTGATGGGTGATTTTGGACCACCTCACAGTCAGGGGTCGTTCAAAGAACTCAGCCGTCCCACGCCTAAATCTTTTTTTTTTTCAAAACTTGACATGACTCCCTATAAGTTCTTATGTGTTAATTTTAGCTTATAATTCTTATTATTTTTCTTGGTGTTTTTCTTTTTAAGATTTGCGTTTAGCCAATTTACTTTCGATTAAACCGCCGTGTGTTAACTCTTCCTGTGTGATTGATTTTTTTAAAACAATCTGACGATAATTCATGTATAATTTTACACAACTGATTAATCGTTCTGAAACCTACTTGTGATACTTTCTAGAGGATATTCCACATGCATGCGATTTCCAAACGAAAGGATCTCCTACGGTGACCCAGGGACTTCGATGAGCAAGAATGGAATTCCAAGGTTGCAAACGTCTGAAGAGACATTGAACTGTGATTCCCAAATCTGCCGCTCGATCAACTTGCTTGTCGGTGGTCCCCAACTCCGTACAGTCTATCGATAGCATTTATTAATGTGAATTTAGCGAATTTGCACAGCTA